TTCGGTTAATCGCAACTGATATTGAGATCGCGATTACAACATTTGTGTTTGATTTACATGTTTTTAAATTCTAATAGATTCATGGTTTCGAAGGTGTAAATTGAAAAAACCAAAACATTGAACAATTTGGCATTTCATTTATTTTCGGCTACTACTAGTCCCAATTAATATTTTGAAGAACTATGTGCAAGTACTTCGCAAGAAACATCTTGGCACCAAGTTTTTTGTTTTTGTCAACAATCACCATATATTAAATCAATTGCTACCGATCAGATAGTTTTCCTGACAGACCAACCCAAACGGGAATGTCTGACTTACATGGGAAAATGCATAACCTCGTACTCGATCTCTCTTTGCAAGGGAGTCAGCCTGGACATTATTACTACATTGCCATCGAATTTACCTCCATAAATAATTATAGATATTTTAGGAAATCAAACAGCTTTTAATTCTTTACCTTTTTTTCATGCTATGAGCAAGACACCAATCTTAACTATATAGTTAAAACATTCCTAATTAAATTCGATGATTTGAATCTGTCGTATGAGGGTAGAGAAAATGTAGTTAGTAATTTCACCAAATTTAATCATCGGATGCAACATCTTAATTCTAGTTACCAAAAATATCGGGTAAAAAGGGAGATGAGACAGATTAAAGGCAAGTGAAGCTGAATCCAACGATCGTTGTCTTATGTTGCTTGAAAGGAATTGATGAATTGGGTGAAGTGTCAAAGAGAGAGAGTCTTCCAGGAGACTGTGAAGATCCTTAAGCTTAGGTCCACTCAAGACACTCTTTTGTTGGAACATATGTTTTCAAACAACCAACGTCCAATTTCCCATGTAATTATTATCCTTGTTTACTATAAATTAATTACTTTGTTAATGTAAAATAAAGAATCCCCTCCATTGTAGTTTTCGAGTTGTTCACCCGAATTATGAAAAAAAATTAATGTGTTTATTAAGAAATAATATGAATAACTGAAATTTCGTTATAAAAATATGCATAGTCAATATAGAACGAAACCTTTTTTGTAAACCAAAATTTAGGTATTAAACGATGTTATTGTAGTAAAGAGAGTATATCTTTTCAACTTTTCATATTTCGAAATTAACGTAAATTTTTAATCTAAATTGTTTTATACTTTTATATCTAATGAATTATCAATTTCCTGGTTCGAAAAATTGTATGTAGAGCTATAATCATAGTTAAAGCACGCAATTAGTTAACTTCAAAATCACTCGGTTCGTCCATCAGTTGGACCAACTATAACATCAACACATAAAAATTATCTTATTCATCACTTATCCGTATATATGCTACATAAATATTTTTTTTTTTCTTTAATTTGTTACCAACCATTTGCCTCTCTCCCTTGTATAAGAACAACACGGTCTCCCTCTGTTTTGAACTACAACACTTGAGAGCTACACCCGAAAACAATATTTCATACATAAAAGTATTGAAAAAAAAAAAAAGCAAAAGATACTTTTGCTCTAATATTCAATGAATAATTACATGGCTACGAGGGTTTTACACTATCTTCTTGTGGCATTTCTGATTGCCATTACTTACAACATCGATGCAGCATCTGCAGGAATCACGCGGCACTACAAGTTCGATGTAAAATTACAAACTTGTCTCAGTTTGAGACCAAGTATATATTAGTTAATTTTCCCTTTTATGACATCTCTATTTTTCTATCTGATACAATATATTAATCAATCACTTATTCTAATTTCCTGCGGTAGATTCAACTTAAAAACATCACAAGATTGTGCAAGGCGAAAACAATCGTGACGGTGAATGGAAAATTCCCAGGACCTAAGGTTACTGCAAGAGAAGGAGATAATCTACAGATCAAAGTTGTTAATCATGTCTCCAATAATATTTCCATCCACTGGTAAATTACTAATAGCTTATAGACTTATCTATACTGATAATATTTTTTTTCCTTGAGAACTCATTGAATAAATGAATGAATAATAGGCACGGCATCCGGCAGATAAGGAGCGGATGGGCGGATGGACCGTCTTATGTAACACAATGTCCGATTCAGACTGGACAAAGTTATGTTTACAACTTCAATGTGACCGGACAAAGAGGAACATTGTGGTGGCATGCTCACATTCAATGGATGAGAGCTACCGTGTACGGACCCTTGATCATTCTCCCTAAACTCCACCAACCTTATCCTTTTCCCAAACCCTACAAACAAATCCCTATACTCTTTGGTAACTATCTTTCGTACCCGTAACTTTTTTTTGCATACCTTACATAGAACTTCCAGAGAATTGTTATGCTTAAGCTAGTGTATAACCTATGACGCTATATGGGGAGAAATCGTAATGATTTATGCTATACGGTCCAATGATTTAGAAAATTATATGTTTTATAGTCTCCTCGTAAATGTTCAAGTATAGCATAAATTTGATTAGTTGTTTAAGGGCTTCCACAATTGACGTTTTTAATTTGTATAGGTGAATGGTTTAATGCTGATCCTCAAGCAGTGCTACAACAGGCTCTTCAGACGGGTGGAGGTCCAAATGCATCGGATGCTCATACTTTTAACGGGCTTCCAGGCCCATTATACAATTGCTCTACAAAAGGTAAAATGATCATCTTTTTCTAAATCTCATTCAAAATACAAATTTAGTATTGTAACGCTAAATTTGCATTTTATAGACACATACAATTTATCGGTGAAACCTGGAAAGACATATCTACTACGACTGATCAATGCTGCACTCGATGACGAACTCTTCTTCACCATAGCCAATCACACATTGACGGTTGTCGAAGCAGACGCTAGCTACGTTAAACCATTCCAAACCAACATTGTGCTTCTTGGTCCGGGCCAAACCACAAACGTTCTACTCAAAGCCAAACCTATTTACCCAAATGCAAACTTCTACATGTTGGCAAGACCATACTTCACTGGTCAAGGAACAATCGATAATACAACCGTAGCAGGAATCCTTAAATACCAACATAAACATAAATCTTCCAAAAATCTTCCTGTTATCAAACCCTTTCTCCCTCCCATCAATAGTACGAGCTACGCCGCGAATTTTACAAAAATGTTTAGAAGTTTGGCAAATTCTAAATATCCGGCAAACGTGCCAAAAACCGTGGATAAAAAATATTTCTTTACCGTCGGTTTAGGAACCAACCCTTGTCCTAAAAACCAAACATGCCAAGGACCAACTAATACCACAAAATTCGCAGCATCTATCAACAATGTGTCTTTCATCTTACCAAACCAGACTTCTCTATTACAAGCATACTTCTTTGGCATCTCCAAGAAAGTTTTTATGACTGATTTCCCAAGTGCTCCACTGTTTAAATTTAATTACACGGGCATGCCACCGAACAACACAATGGTCTCAAGAGGGACTAAAGTCGTGGTCTTGAAGTACAACACAACTGTTGAATTGGTGTTGCAGGGCACTAGCATCTTGGGTATGGAGGCACACCCTTTTCATCTTCATGGCTTCAATTTTTATGTGGTGGGTCAAGGCTTTGGCAATTTTGATCCAAATCGTGACCCAAAACAGTACAACTTAGTTGATCCCGTCGAACGAAACACAATCAATGTCCCCTCGGGTGGTTGGGTTGCTATCCGCTTCCTTGCCGATAACCCCGGTAAAATGTTACTGAATTTTTATACATATACAAATTTAAATCTGGATAATAATAATACGATACTAATCACTTGGTCTTTTATTCATTTAACAATGGTTTGATGGTGATAGGTGTGTGGTTGATGCATTGCCACATCGAGATTCATCTAAGTTGGGGTCTGACCATGGCTTGGGTGGTTTTGGATGGGGACCTTCCGAATCAGAAACTCCTTCCTCCACCCTCAGATTTCCCAAAATGTTGACACTGACCGATCCAACGCCTCTGCAAATGCCACACCACCTTTTTCCCCTTTCTTCGAATGATATTTCCTTAAATTATGAAATATGTGTATTTCTTTTGCCCTTTTTCCCTCCTTTACTGCTTTTATGTTTTGAATTTGACCTGAAAAGATTTTTTTCCCTTTCTTGTTGTAAGATGATGAATGAATTGAAGAGCTTTTGCCGCAAAATAAACAATTAAAAAATTGTTTGTAATGAACGAAAGAAGGCATTATCACTAAAACTCCAACGCTCGTGATTTTTCTTGCTTATCCAATTAAACCAACCATTTTTGTTTATGATAATGACAAAAGATAGAGTCGTTGACAACTTTTCATTGGATTCCCATAATAATATTCCAAACTTTTTTCTTTGCCTAATAAAGTGAAGGGATAGATTTCATCTCATGTCCATAATGCCGACTAGTTTCTAAGTACGTAACTTTTTTCTTTACTACAAAATTTCCATTTTATTAGGTCTGCGGTAATAGAGAAATCTAATCGAATACCATCGGTTTTACATGGAAAAAGTTTGTTTTCCGAGTTGTCGCTTCTTTAACGAGGTAATTCACACAGAAATTAGTACTAAATACTCCTACTTAATTAATAAAGGGAAATATGTCTTGAGCGAGTTATCGTAAAATAAAATGTCAATATATATCCCACTGTCAAAAATTTGACCAAAAAAAACAAAAAAAAAGAGTTATCGTTAAATAAAATGTGGAGGGATATATATTGATAATTTGATACTAAAAGAATTTTCATTTGCCAAGAGGGAATCTTTCTTGTATCAAAGAGACAAAAAACCAGAAAGCAAACAGAGAAAATACTGCCACCAAATACTGCC